CATATTCCTTCACTTATGTCAGTAACTTTCTTATAGTAGAACCAATTTAATTTTCCTGCAGCAAGGATAAATGAATTGATAAACTACATTTTGATGATTTCAGAGAAGAAATGTGATCATTATATGTGAAAAAAATGCTTCAGTCAACATCCTGGTTTAAAAATATGTCTCAGTTGTACTTCTATATATGATCTATGAAGTATTGTATTTGGCTGTTGTTGTTTTATTCACATACAAAGAATGTTTAATAACATATGGTGAAATTTTATTATTTGATGGTTTTGTGTATTCAAGTAGTCACAAATTTTTGGATTCATTCTGTAATATATATTGTCAAGACCTCCTGTTATTCTTTGGCTCATACATAATTACTCTTAAATAAAAAAATATTTCAACTCATAATACCACACTCTTAGATGAATAGTAGGAATGACTGACACTCTTAACACACCCACAACTTTCACTGTCCAAACAAAATTAACATATTTTTCAAATATGCATTTTAGAACACGAATACATCAAGCATTAGAATAAAATGTCCCAAAACAATTGTAATTTAAGTGGCTTTCTAACTAAGCTATAAGTATGTTAAAAAAGTCTGTTACTGCTAAAAACAATGATTTTGCTCAAAATACATCAACTACTCCCTCACAACTACTGCCTTTTGCTGTATTTTCTCAGTCTGAAATAGTTTGACCGTTTTACACAAAAATGAATGTACCTTTCAAATATGCATTTTAAAAAACCATAAATATATCAGGCACTAGAATGGACTGTCTCAAAACTACTGTAATTTAACTGGTTTTCTAACTAAGCTAAAAATACATTTTTAATCTTCTGAATAACGAAATTTCATTTAAACTTTATGCTAAAAATATCATTGAATACCTCATACAAAGTAATAACAGTACCTTAAGCAACTTATCATTTAATATTTCTTGCTTATTCACACAATGAGCAAAATAAACAGAGGGAGAGCCAACCAGTTGGCAGTACCCACCACCTGAAAGTGGCTAATCTTGTGGTGTGCATTTCTCATTCTCCAGATGGTGGTGAAACCAAATGATGAAATTATCACTTTGACTCTTTTTTTCTTCATTTCCTCAAGGGCTTTGTACCCTACCTAACAACAGTGGTCCATGATTTTGCATTCTTATATAATTCATGTTTTATGTGCACTATGTCTCATACATAACCCAATATGCTGACCACTAGACACACCAAGTCATTTTAACTAGTCATACTTTTTCTTAGTAAATAGATTCCCCAAAACAAAACAGTCTCAATGCACACAGCAATATGGGGGTGGAAAAAAGTAGAACTCAAAACTCCAGAATTAGGAACTAAATTAATAACTTTGTAAGGACCAAAAGGACTGTATGAAAATCTTTGAAATAATATGTTTATTCTTTTTCTTAAATATTCTTATCCAAAAGCTGGGTAAGATCCAAGCTCAAGATTTATTTATTTATTATAACATTAACCAAGTGAACTAGATGTAAATTATGGAATATTATACCATATAATCTCAAGCCAAGGAGTAACTTTCTGAAATAATTCTTCAGTTTTGTTTCTGTATGGGGTATAGCAGACAGAAAATTTGCTGGAGACATCAATGTTTAAAGAATGAAACCTTAAAAAAGGAAATTTAGGAACATTATAATTTTCCTATCCTAAATGGAATTCCGATAGATACTTATCTCCTCTCACAGATATAGCTATTCTTATTCAGTGCTGCACTCTATATGCAAAAATTATTTCACATGCCACAAACTTTGAGTTTCCATGTACCCCATGATCGAAGTGGTTCAACTGCATCTCACATGTAAATCATCATGCAAAAACCCTCCACCAACAGGAGCACAACACACCCTCGTGATGCATGTGACTCCCTCTATTCGATTCTACTGAGCTATCAATTAAAGTTTTGGCAGAAAATGGAAGCAATGGTTTTCAGTGGGGGGGAAGGGTAGGAAGTGTGAGAGGAGTTAATTACCTGTCAGAAATACATTTTCAGTATAGAAAAATTATAACTTCCAATACGATAACTTACCTCCACTCACAAATACAGCTAGAATCCCACACTGAACAGGTGGAAGAAACATTGAAAGGGAAAGAAAGAAGCACCCTTTGAAAGCATGCAAAGAACACTAGAAAAAAAGGAGATCCTTGCAGTAGAGGGTTCTATGTGGGAGACCACACCACACTGTACTAGATGTACTTTACACCAAGTGTGGAAAGAGGTGTTGCAAGCATGAGCAAAAAAAAGGGAGAGAACAATATTTGGATATGGATCTGATCCACATGATATCAGAATCTCAATCCCTTGGGAGACAGTACTGTGGGTGAGAGTAAAAGGATGTGCCCAAAGATGTAGAGTACTAGGGTGTGATGGACCATACACAGCAAGTCAACTGCTTTCAAAACCCAGCTACCAGGAACCAACATCCATGAGTGGGTAGGAAAGAGGATCATACTGTCAGAAAGTCAACTATAATCCAAAACCCAGCCATCGGGTGGGGGTAGGAAAAAGGATCATACCATCTTCACCTCAAGTTCAGCAGACCAGAGGGAAATATCATGCTCAACAATCTGCAAACAGGGCACACGTGAGCAAATTGATAATGAATTACTGATCCGGGAACCTGACATCCAGAAGATGGGAATAATTGAGATGTCTCAGTAATGTGCAAAATCCCACTCAAAACCAATCAGACAAGATCTACCCCTAGAACAGCACCATCCTCGATATGTGTAAATATTCAATGGGTAGTGCAAAAGGACAAACCAAAGCAACCCGCATGTTCATCAGGCATGACCCAAAACACATTAGCAATGAACATGAGGCCAGTAACACATGTGTGAGGACTTATGTTGATTGGTTCTGCTCCGAATCCAAAATCTATCCACTTAGAACCGACATCCATGTGGGGTAGGATGAGGGATCCCAATCAGATGGGTGAACTGCAAATTTGATGGCTCACTCCAAAGCTGCAACATTCTTCCAGACAGACCCATTCAGAAATGGAGTATCAGATTGGAGGACATCTCATCATCTATAACAGCAGAACATCACTGCCCTACTCTCAACTGAAAGGATTCATTATTTTTTGTATCGTATATCACTATCACATTCAGGAGGTTACCTCCATGGTCCAACACCCCAGTGGCTTGGAACATGCCTCTGAAAAAGAAGAAGTATATATACAAAAAGGTAAGTTACCCAGTCACAGTCTCACCGAAGAGTGAAGGATGGCGGCAGGTGGAAGACAGTACCCCAATGAGGAAGAAATAGCTACCTGAAGCAGATAAAGGGAGATAAACATATGAGGTGTAGTCCCAGTGCTTGATGGAAGAATTACCTCCAATGTACGATGGAGGTGAGATGCAGGTAAAAGAGTGAAAACACCAGGAATTACAGGAAGAAGGAGACAAGGAAGAAAAACCAGTCTAATCAAAAGCCAAATCCAATTTGTAAGGGAGGAAGGAAAAAGTCACAAATGGAGAAGTGGTGCTAGGGAATGCATCTGTGGGAAAGAGAATCAACCAAAAGAAGCCTTGAAGGCAATTAAGCAACCAAGAGCATGCACGGGATACAGAAGACCATCCAGATCCAATCAGGGATAAAGGTAGGAGATGGAAGGGAACCAAAATATCAAATTGAAGAACATGCCACACGAGTCACTAAAGTGTAGGTTAGGAAAAATTGCTCCAGAACAAATAGAATGGATCGAGCAGAAGCAGCTGAGTTAACCGGTTCTATGCTGGCCAGGAAGGAGCAATCTGAAAGGGGTAACTTGGAATCAAGGAAAGAGACAAGTGCATCTTGTTGAGGAGTCAGAGCCACCAGAAATCTTTGAGAATTGAGAAACCACTCCGTGGGATAGTGTGTGTCAGTACTGGTTAGGCAATCCACAATGAGGTTGAAAGCACTCGGAATATAACATGCTAGGGGACATATGTCAAGTGTGGCAGCCCAAAAATGGAGCTCCAAGGTCGACTACAAAGGGAACCAGAATGGTGCTCCCTTGGTGAGTGATATAAGCCACCATCATAGAATTGTCGGAATGGATCATGATTTGTCAAATCCTGCCAAGAGGAAGAAAGTGAAACGAAGCATGATAGACTGCTGGAAGTTCCAAGGAATGAACATGGTAAGACCTTTTGGTTGTATACCATTGTCCTGAATCCTCATGGTGATCAACCCACACCCCGAAACTTGGAGGTAAGCACCAGGGAAGAGAAACAAATTTGAATAAGGGGAATGAAGTGGTCTCAACAACGTGGGGACTTTGTTCAACTACCAATGCATATCGTCAAAGAGGGAAGGAGGAAAGTTACGAGGGGAATCCAAAGAAACCTTATCAAGATTCCAAGAGACAAAAGGACCCAGCATGAACCATAATGTCTGGAGAAGGAGTGGAAAAAAATACTGTGAAACGTGTTTAAAAAGGGCTGGGTTAAGCAAGGCCTAGGAGACTCCACAGCAGAGGTCTGGGAAAGCTAGGCATAATCAGGTGGAGGAAAAATGTCAAAATCTACTTCATCCCAAACAGGTTCAGCAGTTTTAGAAGGAAGGCAAGCAATATTGAGAGAAGACTGGGCAGACCCTGGCATTAGGGGTCCTCACAAACCAAATTAATTGTAAGAAGTAGAAAATATAAATAATTACGAAAATGAAATAGTTTTTATATTGTAAAATTAAGTACATGTATATTGACAATAAAAATTTAGTAGAAAGTATTTATTGAAGAAAACAATATATTTAACCTAATTTACAATTTACCAGCAAAATGACAAAGACACTTGTTAAGCCTAATCTAACATTGTAGTATGAAGGATATCACAATTGAAAACCCTAAACTTACAATAAGTATTTACAAATCTAACTAAACTTATGTTATTGAACCCAAATAATAATATTAATATCACAAAATATTCAAAAATCTATATTAGTATAACAGATTATCTGTCCAAAGTTCAAAATATGTGGGCACCCAAACTCAAGGCTCGACAAAGATCAACTCATAATGATCAATCTCCCAACAAATGAAAGCCTACAATTCCTTCATCAAGTATTGCCACCTGCAGCTGTAAGTGTGCTGGAATTAAATGATATCACTTTTGAAGTGGAAACATAAACTTCAGTGAAAACCAAAAAAACCTGAAGAACAATAAAGGTAAGTTATCACTTAAAATTGTTAAAGTGAAGTACTGGAAGAGACCATAAACAAAAAACATCATGATGATAGCACTACCAAATGAAAGTGATAGTACAGTAGAATCATATAGAGGGAGTCGCATACATCAGGAGGGTGCGCTGCACTCCTATTGATGGAAGGTTTTTTGCATGATGATGATTTACATGCAAGGTGCAGTTGAACCACGTTGACTGTGGGATATGTGGGAGCTCAAGGCTTATGGCATGCAAAAGTCTATAAGTTAGTTGAACAGCTTAAAATATACAAAAATTTAGTTTTAAATAATTCAGACAAACAAACTATTTACTTATATTAGTTATTCTTATCTCTAGCATTTAACAATGACTGGGTTACAATTTCATATTCTTTCTACACCTAATTGCATGTATAAGCTAAAAGGTATTACTGCAGCAATGCAAGTCAGGTCAGATTTCATTGTTGAGAAAAAAAACTGCTCCAACCTAATGATTTTACTTTGTCTTACTGATGAATAAGGACAACTTACAGTAAAAACCAAAGTAATGATTTTTCCAGGGTGGAAGAAAACACCTGATACCATAAGGAAGCTTTTAGATATTTAATATCAATAACACAAGTAAACTGGTAAAAAAAGGGGGAATACACCCATAAACTAAAAAAGTAAAAAAAAATTCCATCTCCAAGGATCTTATTCCTCTGGTAACTAAAGAAATACAGGTAAGAAAGGTCAAATATAAAAGACATCATAAAAAAAATAAAGGCACTAATATCAAAGACTGAATATCTGTGATACTTTCATTAAAGATTAAGTTTGAAAATTCTTAACAATCTATTTTATCACATCACTTAAACCTAACTTAGTTTCTTTTGTAGTTTCTCTTGCAAACATGCAAAATTTGATGGTCCTGTCAAGCCTACAAAGATTTTCTTGCTTCCCTCATACTGTGTTCACATTTTACAATAAGATATTAACAAATGTTCAAAAAGTACCTCTGTTAATCTTCCTACAAAGTTAAAAGGTCTCTTAGGTCCAGGGTCCAGGCAAGCATCTAGTCCAATAAAAGTGTAGCGTTCTGTGTCATGTTTCAATGTGAAGTTGTATGAACGAGGATGGAACTGACCTTGTGCTGAGAAGTTTCTTGGAGAAAATAATGATATATAAAAAATTATACAGCTATACACAACAACAAATTTTTTGCCATGTTAAAATACAAAATTAACATTTTGAATGACAAGAAAGATCACAATATTCCATATATTTTAACTTGTATTATTTTAATCCTCTCAAATTATATTTGATTCCTATTTAACCTCTTTTTTTTTGCTGCTTTTTGCTATAGGGCCTACTGTATCATATGTTTTAATGTGTGCCTTGTACCATAAAAATCTATAGAATTTATTAACCTTCATTCACTTTATTCCCACACAGATGAATTTGCCTTGGCTATGCTTATGATACATTCCAGGAGAATCCCAAGTTTTCTAGCAATAATATGTTGTACAAATCACACAAGAAAGTCATATCTCTACCTCATACCTTCAGCAAGATAATGTACTTTCACAGAAGTTTTAAAATAAATCAGGGTTTTCTTTAACATTCACTGCTGTGCCTATATATTGCTTTCAGCCATGATAAACTTCAAATGACAAATAAAACAAAAACAGGATCAACTCGGCTTTCACTTATACAAGAGACTTCCCTTTATATCATTCCAGAAAAATCAAAGGAATGAATGTGGAGGAAGCCCCAAAATTTATCACATACAAGGTTTGAACATTGGATGCCTATAAAGTGTCCACTGCATGTTTGTATATCAAGATGAATAAATTATGTAACTGAGCAGTTAGACTAAAAATGTTGCACAAAACAATTTTTGAGCATTACTAAAAAAATGAGTGAATATAAATCTAACAAAACAAGGACTGTAATGTGATATAAAAAAAACAACTGTTTTAGCATTTTCAAAACTAAGAAAATAAAATCTCAATATTATAATAGAAATATCAAAAAGAAAGTCCTGATACACAATAAGTATTGCTGCTTCAGTGAAGGATTTACGTAACATTCGTAAAAAATTATCAACATAACATAAGACTTCTTTTTTACTTTTTAACTTGTGCCATTAGTAACTAGTTATTCTTGCTTATATCAATTAATCTGAAAGTTATTTTTATAACTTGCATAGTTTTATAATTAGTTACCATCTAAACTACAGTTTGATAATGTAGCATAATCTTTAGATCATACTATACCTCATGATCATATCATTACTTTAAAATTAAGCCCACAGGCTATACTGTAGAAACATTTAGCACTATTCTTAATACAACCAGCAAGTTATATGCTGAAATTACTTGATTACTTTTTGGTTACACTTATTTTACTATTTTTAAGCAAACAGTATTAAACATAATGTTGAACATCAGCAAAGCCATCAACTTCCATTTTTTGAATGCTTTAATTCATAACTGTCATGGTAATTTTAAATGTGAAGTTCGACATAAAAATCTTTAATGGCTTTTATTTTATCAAGTTATATGCTGTGTTTAAGGAAACTTAGTTAAGATGTTAGTTCATTGAGTATATAAAATTTCAAGTTCTTAAGAATTTTTCTACAAAGGCTTTGATAATGTTGAGATTCTTATGCAAAAATGGTTTTTATACCTATTTGATTGACAGAATTTATACTCCTCTTCAATATACTCCTCTTCTAAGAGCTTTCTAGTAAAGGTACCACAAAGTACACTTTTTGACTGATTCTGACTATTTGTAAGGGTGTTACATAAATATTGTTTCACTGTGTTTTAAATTTAGTCCAGTTTCTTTCTGCACTTGAGAATACAACACTCTTAGAAAAATAGTAGGAATGACTGATACTCTTATACACACCCACAACTGAAAGTGTATAATGTTTGGGAGCACCATGTCTTCAAACCTGAGATCCTTGGATCCTCAGTCATTTGAAGTCAGAGTAGTTTAACCCTACTATGATCTACTACAGTAATATGTGAAGAACTTGCAATAACAATACCTGATTGGCAATTCCCAGAGAGCAATAATATAATACTAACAGAACTTCATTAAGATATTTGTTGTGAATTATCATGAACAATATCTTAACCATTTGGGAACAGCTTCATCTATAGGACTGAGCCCCTAAAATATTAAAACTATATATAATAAAACTTTGAATTTACAAAGTGTATCTTCACGAAATTTGATAAGCTTTTAGTAAACGTTACAAGTCTGTTATACACAAAAGATCAGATTTTTTAATAAATTATTTTTACTAAAGATTTGTCTGTAAATTTATGGGGACTTACTGAGTTACTCTGAGTAAAATGGTGATTTTCACATTAAGAATGAAAATACTTTTCATCTTAAAGTTTTCATATTTCATTTGAATAACCAGTAGAACCTCCTGGTTAATTAGTTAATTTAATAATTTATCTTCTATTTTCTCTACCCTAACACTAACTGTTGTGATATCATGTATGTACGGTGAATTGAAAAGTTGAAAATTGTGAAATAAAATTAATACTTTTTTTATTCTTCTCTGAATGCATCATTTGTTGCCAGATCTTCAAGTTAATTAGTTAATTATCTTCACAATTTCAACTGTTTGAAAAATTTGTTGATATCTTAGCAAATCATAATATATAGTTTGTGTTTCTAATTGATTAGACACTGAACATCAAATTAAGGAAGATATAACTTCTATAATGGAAAACATCGATGCAAAGATGCATCATGTAACACAGAATTGTTTTAAATATTTCCTTTTGAAATCAAGAAATTAAAACTTAGATAATATAAAAACTTTAATTACATTTTGAATGCAACTCTGTAAAGTGTCATGATATACGATGTTTCACTAAACCCTTTGCAAATGGTTAATTGGATAATACAAGTTTTAATATAACATTAACTCACTTCATCAGTTCTCGTACTCCAGGTGGTGGTGAAACCATGGTGCTAGTAGGATAATGGCCAAACCAGATGGTGAAATTACTACCATGACTCTTTCTTTTCATTTCCTCAAGGGCTTTGTATTCTACCTAATAATGGCACATGATGATTTTATGCTCTTACATAATTCATGTTTTATTAAAGTTTTCAAAACTCTAAGTTAAACTTGTCATTTCTGGACAAACCACCTACAAATTATAACATTTTTTTCATATCCTGAATAACATGATTTCATTCAAACTGTATGCTAAAAATATTTTTTTAAGAACTCACATTCAGTAATAATTGTATCTTATAAAATTTATCATTTAAAATTTCTAACTCATTTGGTCATCTGAGCTAAATAAACAGACGGATGACAATCATTTGATGGCACCCACCAGGTGAATATGGCTATTCTTCTAGAATGCAGGCATACTAGATGTTTTGTACTTCCTTATTATAAAAAACTTCGAAATTTTCATATACACTTTGCATGTAGTCATAATCTAGAATATTGGTTAAGAAAGTCACTCAGTTCCTTTTGTCCTAGTTAACTACTGAACTGGGTTATTCAAGTGGTGCAACACGCACTTTCTCTTGGGAAAGATTTCTTTAAAGTGGAGCATGTTATGTACAAATAGACAATGATCCTTTCCATTGGCAGGTCAGGAGATACCTCAAGGATTCAACCACTCTTATTTTACAATTGGAGTGATCAACAGTCATATGCATAGCACTTTCACTGAGAAGAATAACATTATTGTTTCATGCACAAAATGCTATGTTTTCTCAGTCTGGAACAGTTTGTTTTAGTTTTAGAATGTATGCCTAGCTATCAGTTATGTGTCCTACATTCTTATTACAAAAGAGTTTATAAAGAATATTAGATTATAATAACATGATTGTCTGAATCAAAGTTTCGTGCAGTGCTATCTATCATTACCACAGGAAAACATGGCATGGCC